TTCTGCCTTAATATCTAACCCTCCCCTGAGGACACTGCTCCTCCCATAGTCCTCCAAGTGGAAGCTGTTTTCTGTGGCATATTCCTTATACTTCTAGGTTGGGTGGGAACATGATAGGGCAAATGGGGGTCTATGTCTTCCTTACTTTCAAATGATTTCACCTCTAAAAACCACCAGCTTTTGAGCTATTACAATGAGTTGCTCTCCCTCATTCTTTGAAGTTTTAGTGCCACTGCTCACTGTCATGCTCTCTACCATTATTCTTGGTATTTTTATTTTCCATGTAGACAATCATGACAATGGTCTGACCTCTGGATTCCTTTGTCCCTTCTTATGCAAATGATCTGATTCTCTACCTCCCCTTACTCACTTAGCCCCCTAGTCACTGCTAGACCCTGCTACTAATAATGCTTACAGCCCTTCCTTGTGCTCTGTCCTTCAATTTCCCCCAGATCAGGTGTAGGGACTCTACATCTTTTCTTTCTAACTGACTTCTTCTGGAACCCTGATGTCAGCAATCTTTAACCACACAAACCATTACCAATTAAAAACAACAACAGATAGGGAACAGTTTTTATTGTGAACATTTTCAAATATACCCCAAAATAGAAAAAAGAATAGTGTAATAACTCCCCAGGTATGTATTACTCAGTCTTCAAAACCACATTTCTGGTAATGTTGTTCTATCTATCTATCTATCTGTCTATCCATCTATCTATCAATCTACCTACCTACCTATCTACCTACCTTTTAGTTATCTGCTGTCTAATGAATGTTCCTTGTTGTTTTGTTCACCCTGCCTTCTTTTCACTGTCATTCATTCACCTCATTTTCTCCATCACTTACTTTACATGTCACTGACAACCACAATCAGTCTCTTCTACACAGCCTCAACTCTTTGTCCTATCATGCATTTTGTACAGTATTGAAAAATCCCAATGTTGATTAAATACATCCTGACTGGTCTTACTTTAACATCATGACCCTCTAATGCTGCATGGACCCCTAGTACCACCTAGGGAGCCTATTCCATATTTCTAGCTCACTCACTCTCTCACACTTCAGATGATTATTTTGTACCTTCCCCTGTTTCCCAAACCTCTACGCCCCACTACTACATCACCCACTCATCTATATATAAACTCATATAATCTGACTTCATTCCTTTGCTACAGATGAACTTTGTCTGATTCTATCCAATTCCTTCACTGTGTACTAGTCCTTATATCTGCTAATCTATGAAAGGACATTGCTCTACAATAATTCTCCCTTCTACTTCTTGCATCATTGGTGTTCCCTTTCTATTGTTTAATCCCATCAACAAACAGGCATGCCACACATTTTCCCATGTTAAAAACAAATAAATACCAATAAAATAAAACTCTTGACTCCACCTCTTCCTTAAGCTATTACTCAGTTTTTCTGTTCACCAAAATTGCTCTAAAGTCTTGATTAAATTTGCAGTTTCTTATTCTCCTCCTCCTATTTTCCTTCTATTCCAATCAGGCTTTCTTCTGTAACTCTGCTGAAACTGCTTTTGTTGAAGACACACAGACTTACCTCCTCCCTGCTAAATTCAGTGGTTAATTCTCAATGTTCATTTTACTTGGCATAATGTTAGAGACAAATCATCATTCTTTGGTTACTTTGAAACATCTTTATTTGGGCTTGAGATCATTAGTTTCTAATTATGCTTCTTCTCTCTCATGTGCTATTTCCCAGTCTCCTCTTTCAGTTTCACTTCTCTTTATTATTAAATTTTGGATTTACCAAGACTCATTTTGGGGGTCTTGTTTTCTCTTTTCAGAGTGAATTTGTTGAGGATTTAATTCAGTCTCATGGCTTTAAAAAAACAAATCCTAAACGTTTTCATCTGTCCCACTATTCACCCTTGAAATCTAAACTCACATATGCAATTTCTTGCATTTATGGTCTCTCCACTTCTGCAACTGGCAACTGCATCCTTTCCCTTGCAGGCTCCCAGAGCATGGCACAATCTCCAAATTCCCCTGTTATACTCTCACTTTTAATCTACCAGCAAATCATATTCACTCTGCCTTCAAAATGTATGCAGAATCTGAATGGACAAATAGCATATATACTGAACCAACCCTCCCCACAAAGAAATGTAAAATCTGGACAGAATGTAAAAGATAGCTACCACAAGACAGTAGAGTGAACAAACACAGGCAGATTATGGAGGAAAGTCAGTTGAAAGAAAGGAAGGGCATGGGATAAATTTCTCATCTATAGTATTATAATTATTATTATTATTATTATTATTATTATTATTATTATTATTATTACATTTATCCTGAGGGCAAACCCCATCTGCGTCTTAGGGAGAAATTAAAATTCTCATACATACCTACAGGTTTGCTTTCTTGAAGAACTGGAGGACAGAATTCATGGCAACCAGAGCGAATTAGCTATGGTTTTATAACAAATTAACACAAATGCTATGGTTTAAAACAATACCCATTTATTATCTCACAGTACAGAGTAACTGAGCTCTTTGCTGAGGGTCTGATCAGACTAAAATCAGGGTGTCATCTAGCCTGTGATTCTCCTCTGAGGCTCAGGGACCTCTTTCAAGCACGTTGGTTATTAGAATGTATTCCTTTGTGGCTTTATGACTCAGGCCCCGTTCTCTTACTAACTAGTGTTCAGGAGTGACTCTAAAGTTTCTAGAAGATACCTACAGTTCCTTGCCACATGAGCCCTAAAACATTTCATTAACAAGGTCATTAGCTTCCTCCTGACCAGAAAGGGCATGTTTTTCTAACTTTTTCTTTTGTGACTAACTGGAGAAAAATTATCTGCTTTTATAGGGCTAATCTGGTAGACCAGATATAACCAGGATAATCCTCCTTTGGCCCATATGAGGAACCATGATTATGGGAGTAATACCTCATCATCATATTCACGGGTTCTGCTCAAATTCAAGGGGGGATTATTGTTGGCATGTACACCAGAGGAGAGGAATCTTGGGTCCGTCCAAAAATGAGGGGAGATACTGGAAGAAGAGTATCTGACAGAGGGAGTTCCAGTATCTGCCTATAAACTCTGCCTAAATCTCTGGCTGACCTCTGAACTACATGGTGCAGACACTAAGCAGCCCAGAGAAGTTAAAAAGATTGAAGTTATTAAAAAAATAAAAGAAGTTAACTGAGATTAGATATTTTCTCTAATGCAAGGTATTTTTCTTACTATTTTCTTAGACTGGAGTTATCTTTTTGTTCTTTGCCTGTGGAAATCCTCTGCTCTTTCCAGGCCCAATTCATAAGACATGTCCTTCTTCAAATGTCCAAGTAACTCCACAAAATAATTTTCACCTTTACATAGATTTACTTTATTATTCCTTATGTTATAGCTAAGTATTTACATGTCTATATCACTAGCTAGAAAGTGCTTTGAGGGTAAGACATGGTTTAGTTACTCCTGCATACCTAGCATGTTCCATTGTACAGGATAGCTTAGTTGAGCTCAAATTTGCTATGTTAAATTGCATCATGGTACTAAAAAATTATTCAGAATCTGACTGTTCCTTGTCTAAACCACTGACATTTCTTGCTTGTGTTATTATAATTGACTACCTTGCTGCTTCTGTTTGTTGCCTATTAAAAGTATCTTCTCAACCCACAACTAACATCACACTCAGTGGTGAAAAGCAGAAAGCTTTTCCTCTAAGATCAGAAAAGGACAAGGATGCCCATTTTTAACACTTTTGTTCAACATATTATTGGAAGTCCTAGAAAGAGCAATTAGACAAGAAAAAGAAATAAAATGCATCCAAATTGGAAAGGAAGAAGTAAGACTATTACTATTTGTGGATGACATGATGTTATATCTAAAACACTGACAAAAGAAATTGAAGAAAACAAAAATAAATGAAAAGATATTCCATGTTCATGGATTTGAAGAATTAATAGTTTTAAAATGTCCATACTATCCAAAGCAATCTATAGGTTCAAAGGATTCTCTATCAAAATTACATTGACATTTTCATAGAAACAGAACAAATGATCCTAAAACATGTATATGAGAGGGGGAAACCCCAAAATGGTATTTATTTATAAAAATTGTGTATTTATTTTTACATGCTTAAACTTTAGTCACATTCAAAGTACTCTCTATTTGATGCAATACAGCCTATCAAAATGCTTTTTTCACTGCTCAGAACAGTTTTTAAACTCATTGATTGATGAATTTTAGTACTTCTGCCATTTTCATTTCACCTTTTCCACATCAGCAAAACATTTCAGTTTGAGGACTTTTTCATCCAAGGAAACAACAACAAAAAAATGCCACCTGGGGTGAAATCAGGTAAATAGGGAGAGTGGAGCACAGGGTCATGCCATTATTTTGACAATAACTGCCGAACACTCACTGTGATGTGGACAGGTGTACTTATACATCACCCATAATGCTTCTGTGTACTCACTTCTAAGTGTGGCATCCAAATCCATAAGTAATAGTTCAGTTGCAATTATGTGAGATTCAGTGCCTGAGATGCTAGCTTCTGAACATTAGAAAGAACTCTGGGTTGAGAGTTAAAAGACTTGAGGTTAAATATCTAATACTATGTAACTTTGGGTAGTTTATTAACCATTCTGAACTTCAGTTTTTCTCAACCTCAGATTGAGTTGCAGCGTTGAAAGAGTTATAGAAGGTATGCCTTGAAGCTCACAAAACTGTAAAGTCTTTTACAAAGTAACTTAATCTTTTAATAATCTATATTAATGAGTTTGTCCTAGATGTGAGCTCTCTGAGTTTACGGTCAAACACTTTAACACTTTGGTCTAAATTTTATACAAATTAAGGATTGTAGTCATTTATCTGGCATCTTGTGAGAACCCTAGGAGCTCATTAAAAGGCAAAAATCACCAAAATGCCTCATGAGCATTTTGTACTGAAAAGATAGATAATAAATGTCCACACTATGATGTGCATTATTCTCTACTTTACTTTCAGGTGGATGGCTCATACTCTTTGCCATCATGCTGCGGTTGGTGGCAGCTTGCCCTGCGCCATGTTCGGTGTGCACCAAAGACGTAACCCTCTGTCACCAGTTAACCTATATAGTAGGTAATAACACCAATAACTCAAAAAGCCATTTTTAGTGTGCTTACAAAATTCATTGTCATGCCTTTCATTGCACTGACTGCTTTCTGGGCTCAGCTAAAGAGGTAAACTTTTCAAGAGCAAGCCATTTTTAGTCACATCCCCAGTGACTAAGTCTGATAACATTATGTTCTTTTCCTGTTCCTGGTGGTCTCAGCCAAAACTAAAGACTTTCAGAGGTAATTGAGACATTTTGCTGTTATAGGAGAATACTACCATTTCATGCAGCTTCACTTTTTTATATAAAAGAGAGAAATAGATTACTTAAATTATATTTTTGTTCACACTTTGTACAAATTTGAACACTACCACTGGCTGGAAAATATATCAATGAATCAGAAACCTGCACTGCAGTTGTTCAGCATTAGTAAGATTAAATGATGTACCAGAAAAATAGATTATTATCAAAGTGCACCTAATTTTGAAAGTCTAGGCTTTTTTATTGATGGTAAATCAGCTGGAGAAATGCTAACAAGATACGCTGCCTGTATTCATTATATATTGCTTGCTTAAGTCAACAATTTAATAAGACACCTTATTAACAAATTTGAGGAGAATGTGATTTACATCCTGATGTCTAAGAAGAGATAAGCAAGCTATAAAATCTACCAATGAAAACTTTTCAGAATAAGGCTGAGTTGAGATGAAGAGGAAGAAGATAATTTCTTTCATTTCTAAAATCCTATGATTTTATGGGAATTAAGAGGTAGCTGTTATTGTCATCCCTGACAGAAGAGAGACAGCTACAAGCCTAGTTGGTTGTACACTACTTCCAATCAGTATTTAAAACGTTTAAACACTGCACTTCCACCCTCTCAGTTGGATTCCTAACTTCACTATATGTGTGTGTGTATGTGTGTATATATTATTTTTTGCCTGGAGATAACAGATGTCTATAAGAAACAAATGTTGCTCATTTACATTGCGGCACCTCTGTATTTTTCTTCTCATTTACAGAATGCCAAAACTGTGAAGTTAAATCTCATGAACACTAAAAGGAAATTGGTGACTTGTGAGTGGAGTGTTTGTCTAGTCCTACACAGGAAGTAACTGACAGAAACAATAGTCTGTTCCCTCAAAGTTGACAAATCCCTAGAGCACTAGGGATCCATAAAAACAAAATTCCCTCAACTCATTAAAAAAATGATGAAATAAAGTGCTGAACTGTCCAGAGTTAATAGAGTTCAAATAATCAGCAATAAGTATTTTTTAAAAAATACCATGACTTAAACTTCCTTGTGCTACAGAGATGGGAACAATTCTGAAAAAGAAGGCACTTTGAAAATCCTTTGTCTTTTACATTTTTAAAATCTCTTTGTTTCAGTGATACAGTCTGCATTTCATAAGGGAATTGTGACTTGCTTCCCTCATGGATGATTGTTCTAATATCACCTGTAGACCTCCCAGGGACAATGGACTCTTCTATCTTTATGACACTGTCATTTGCAGTCAAAACAATTTTAGCATGATAAAGATGTGTTACAATAACTCCTGATTATAATATATCTTTATTGAGTTAAAACGCTTTGATTTCTAATGACAGAGCTGTGATTGCTCTGAGGTGATTATGGCAAAGGGATTTAACAGTTGGAAGCCCTGCATGCCACCTGTCATCACATGATGGACTTCATTGGAGGAAACAGATATCAGACAGGAGGCTGAGATGGCCCGGACTATAATGAGAACCCCACTGACAGATCCTTGGGTTGTCTGCAGAGAATATAGATCCTTACTGAGTCACCAACTTTTAGCCTGGAGCTAAAAAGCAAAAGCCAGCACTTCTTCTCACTCCACACCCCAAGGCCCCCCTTCTGGGCCCAAACCCATACTTTTATGTTTGAGAGAAAAGATGACTGAGTGCACAGCATAAATATGCATTGCTAATGGGAAACTGGTTAGTGGGCTCAGACGCAGGCTGGGCTTTTGGGTGAATCTGTACTGGGCCAGCAGGGCCGGGGCAGGTCAGTACATAGCCTCACAGAGAAGCAGCCTGAAAAACCACGGTCAAAAAATACATCAGTGATGATAATCCCAAACAATGAATTAACTTTGACATGTAAAGGAACAGATGGGTTTATGTTCTCAAATAAACATGTCATAGTAACAAAGAATATAAAAATCCATCATTCTGATAAAGAGCCCGACTTCCCCTTAAACTGAGAAATCAGAGACTTGTTTTCATTTTGTTTATTGTTCTTACCCAGGTGATCAGATCTCTCCAGAGGGTATTGATTATCTCTGCTCTGCACCTCACTTCTGGACCATTTGTGTGTATCTTGCTTCTAGCCTGTGCTTTTCTTCCCCACAGCAGCCCCTGTGACCACGAGAGTTTTGATCATCACTGATGGATCCCTTTCTTCTATAGAGAGCACAAATCTGTCTCTCCTGTTTAATCTTGCCCTGCTCTCCTTGAGCAGAAATGGCATTGAGGATGTGCAGGAAGATGCCCTCCATGGCCTTTCAAAGCTGCGGACGTTGTTGCTGGAGCACAATCAGATATCCAGCTCCACACTCTCGGATCACACCTTCAGCAAGCTGTGCAGCCTGCAGGTGCTGGTGCTTAGCAATAACGCCCTCCAGACCCTGCGAGGATCCTGGTTCAAGAACAACAGGCGCCTGACCCGGCTCCAGCTGGATGGGAATCAGATCACTAATCTGACAGACAGTTCTTTCGGAGGCACAAATCTCCACAGTCTCAGGCGTCTGGATTTATCTAACAATTTTATTTCCTACATTGGGAAGGACACCTTCCGGCCCCTGCCTCAGCTACAGGAAGTGGACCTTTCCCGAAATCGGTTGGCCCAAATGCCAGATGTTTTTACTCCACTGAAGCACTTAATCCTTCTGAGCTTAGATAAGAACCAGTGGAGCTGTACTTGTGATCTCTACCCCCTTGCCCGGTTTTTAAGAAACTACATTAAGTCCTCTGCTCACAAGCTCAGAAATGCCAAAGCCCTACATTGTCAGCCACCCGCCGCTGCTGTGGCCGGTGCAAAGAGCGTGCTACGGCTGTCTGACACCAACTGCGATCCCAAGGCTTCCAACCTCACTCTGATTCTAAAGGACAGAAGTCCCCTCCTCCCAGGGCAGGATGTGGCCCTGCTCACTGTCCTGGGCTTTGCAGGTATGCCAGGAAAAAAGTGTACCCTCCTCTTCTCCCTCCTCTTGTCCATATCCTTGACATACACTAAATGATGCCTTTCCTTGGCAACTGGAAAAATGTGCCAGGGCTTGTGGAAAGGGGAATGTGTAAGTAGATGAAGGAGGATGTTAGCTATTTGGCACAGGTTGCAAGAATTTCCTGTTGCAGAAAAGCTGTCTAACATGAAGAAAATGACCTTGCACCAGAATTCAAGAGCTCTAACCCTGGTATAGCCATTACTGTGATCCTGAGTAAGTTAAATTGCTATGTAGGTTTCAGCATTCTTGTTTATAATGAAGGAATAGTGCATACAGTTTACCAATTGTCCATATGCTGAAGAGCACTGGTACATTTATTAAGATGCTGGGAGTTAGGGGTTAAAAAAGTTATGAGACATGGATTTTTTTTTCTCCAAAGCACGCACATAAGGGTGCCTCTCTGTGTTGCAGTAAGAATAAGTGATCTTTACCAAGTGCATGAGGAGGTGCTATTATGACAATCACGTGCATCCCGCTCTATGGTGGTTGTATAGCATAGTAATGAAGCACATGAGCTCTGCAGTTGAATTGCCCGGGTTGGAATCCTGGCTCTGCTCTTACTTGCTGTGTAACTTTGGGCAAGAGGTCATTTGACCTCTCTGTGCCTTGGTTTCCTCTTGTTTGGGGATTTGAATTCTATCTAACATTTCTGTTTGTCTCTTTCAAAAACTTGGCCCATTCCTTCACAGACTAAGAAGAGTATAATATTCAACCCTTTAAATTTCCTTTGGTAGTTTAAAAAAATTGAAATTATGCATCAGCTGCCATTACACCTAACTGAATGAATGGTATACACGATGCTTGGTGTCATTAGTGGAAGACCAAGTCTGCACGAGATTTCTTGTGTCATTTACCTCAATGTGTGTTTCCCCCTACGCTTGCAGTGCATGGTGAAATTCTCTGCACCTGCGGTAACCATGGTGATGAGAAGCGCATGTGTGTGCATGTGCATGTGCATGTGTGCGGGGAGAAGGGTTCCTCAAAGCTGGAAGGCCAGGGGCTCACATCCAGAAATGAAATTATATGTTTTGAATATGTACTATAAATAATCATTCCATAGCAGATTTCCAGGAAATTAATTGAACATCAGATGTCTAACTTCTAAGTTATACCTATAATCAGGAGAGATGGAGACCAGCATCAGGTCTAGGCAAAGGAAAAACCACTAGTTTTTCAAACTCATTTGAAAGTCAATTCAAATCATCTCAGAAAGATAAATCGTTTCAAAAACCGTGCAGCCATGTCAGTAATTATATGCACTAAGAAATAATTTACTGTAAAAGATGAAACAATAGAGCATAGATAGTTTTTTTAAATGTGCTTCTTTGAATACTAGTTTGAGGGGATAATTAATAGATATTGCATACAAACAAACACAGATTCACATATAAGCAATATATTGTGGGGTTCACACAGATGTGGGCTATGTTGGATTAAACAAAATGAAATGGGCTTCTTTACTACAGAATTTCTCATTGCCTTTCCTTTGCTAATGAGCATTATGAATCTAGGAGGAAGAAATAATGTAAAGCATTTCTCAAACTTATTGACCATAAACCCCCTTCATCACAGAGGATTTCACTGAATTATGTTTTGTAGGACATTGTTTTGGAAATATTATAATAGTAATTTTCAGTATCTTCTAGGTACCTTTTATAACTGTTTTCAGGAAAGATTTTGCTAAGTTAACAACTCTGTGTTAGTGTTGAGATAGAAATTCAAAAAACTCCAAAGATTTGTCAAAATGATAGGATGCTTAATATGCATGAATATGTTCTGATAATTTATAAATAAAATTATATACATGTTGGGTTATAGTGCATGAATTTATCATCATAATGTATCTTTCATTGAGAAATTGTTAAAATACTGTTTTTAAAAAAGATTCTTCTTCTAAAAAACTCTGACTTATGACATCAGTTCATTCTGTCCATTCCATTAAGATCCTGTTCCTTCTGAAGTAAAAGTGTGGTCACTTATCTCTACCTTTAGACAGGAACAAAAAAACTTGGAACTCTAATTTGGCCTCTGATTTCATTTTCTTCCTCAGCTATAGATAAACATCACGATTCAATATAATATAATAATATTCAGTTAATTTAAAACTGATAAGTGCTTATTTGGCACCAAACATTGACATCTTGACACTGATATTCTGTAACCTGATGGATAAAAATAGAAAGCTTTCATGAAGCTGGAACACGTTTCCAATACTTCAATGAGAATTTATCATTAATTTTGCTTTTTATTTTGTTTTTTTTTTCCAACGGTTTTCCTACAGAAAGATTGTCAGAACAGTTTTTAAAAATAGCAACAGTGCCCATGGCAATGAAAATTCAACCATCTTCTTAATAGCTCATTCAGTCTGCCTACAAGCTTCATTTGCTGCTTTTGCTCTCTGCACAAACAAAAAACGACCACACCTGACTGGTGATATGGTACAGGCGTAGCTCTAATGTCCACGATGCTCCCCTTGCCGATCAGACACAATTAGTGGGGAAACTTTATTTTACAGTGGGATCATGCCTACTCCAATTTCAATGGCCGCTGCATGTATTTAAGAAAATTTAGGCCTTTCTTTCCTTTGTTGTTTGGTTTAGTACCTGCACTGGCCATACAAAGAATTTTCTTTCTGATTTGCTTTTGGGAATTTTTTTTACCGAAAAGCTGAGTGTTGTAGGTACTAATAGGGCGATACAAAACCCAAACAGCAGCAGCAGCAGTCGTCAGCATAAACCCCAACGGCCATTCCTTGAGCCTTACTATATCAACATGCTATATTAAACATGTCACATATATTATGTCATTTAATCCCTGGGTGGTGTTAATTATCCCCTTTTGGCAGAGGAGGAAAATAAGACTCAGAGAGGTTAGAAAATTTGCCCAAGAAAGTTGTTAGAATAAAGCTTTGAATCCTGAGTTTTCTTATGCCATATAAGGGAGATATTGTTTCCAAAAATTTATTATTTTCATACATTTTAAACACTTAAAATCCAAAGCCATCACTTGAAATAAATCAAACTCTAGGACCTGGCGATAAAAATATTCTGATGTAACTTTTGGTACTGCTTTTAAAAAACGTTGTGTCTTTAACAGAAATTGAATTATTTCAATATGTTACAGCACTCTCCAAGATTTATTGTTGTCAAATAAATTAAAGGGAATTTACGAGACCTCAAGATTTAGTAAACTATACAAAGTTTGGAGGATTTTACCAGAAACTGTCATTATTTTTGTTTAATCTGTATTTTTAACATAAAAAATGAAACAACCATGGCTGAAACCTTCATTTTTCTTTCAAGTTCAAAATATATCATCACGTTTTCATTAAAGTTGTCTGCAGTGGAGAGAGAACCAGGCATGATGCAGTCAACCAATGAACCTAGAGTGTTGACATCACCTCATCCATGTCTGACATCACTCATACTGAATTCTCTCGGGGAACTGTCCTGTCCAAGCTTCTGCGAAGTTTGTAGGCAGAGCTGGGCTTAGAACACATTGTTCCTACATTCATCAATACTGACACCATGTCTTCCCATCACCATTTTGGGGATTTGTAAAATTAGACCACTCAGCATTTTTCATGATTAGAATTCATATACAGAATTCCTTATGTTTATTTAATACTTAATAAACATTTCTGGAGTGCCTCTTCTGTGCCTGAGTTATGAGCACAAGAGATACGTTTTTGAACAAAATTGAAAATCGCCATTTTCTCATAGTGCTTAATTCTAGCAGGGAAGGACAGACAGTGAACAAGAAAATTAGTAAGTGAAAAGAATAATTTTATACTGTTTTAGATGCTAAGGTAAAAAAGGGAAGCACTGTGACATTGACAGAGTTGAGGTGTAACTCAGAGACCGGTTTAAACATCTAGGTGGTTGATGATGTCATTTATTGAGATGGGAAACAGCAAAGAAGAAATGGGTTGGACTCCGCACTTGGGTTTGAGAAACACTGCCTTTGCCGTTTTATTCAGAGGGTAAGCTCTACCTTCATAGAACAGGAAATGACAGTACCACACATTCCAAACTTAGATGTTAATCATATGGTTGAGGAAGTTCATAGAAGGGAAAGATCTTTTCAAGATTAAGAAAAAAAACAGAAGAGTTATCAATAAATTTGGAGGAATTGATTTAGATTTTAGAGGGTAAATAAAATTCAAATTAGCAGAGATAGGAGGAGGCATTACAAGCATCACTAAGAGCATGCACAAAGGCTTAGAAGTGCATTTTTAGACTAATAAATCGAAGAGTCTGAAGCATAGTGTTTGAATCTGAAAAATAATGAAACACAAGGCTAAAAGAGAGGTCATAGCCAGATTGCACCAAGTCTTGGATGTCGAGGAGTTTGGCCTTTATAATGGGAAGCCAAGGAGGTATGCTGAGCTTGGGGTGAATCTTTAGGGGGACTCAATATAGAACAATACTATGTAGAATCAATTTCTCTTTTTGAGGGGGAGATGTGGTATATGATAAGTTCAGATATATACTAACTGTGGACTATTTTGGGGATTGACTATGGTATTAAGAAATAGGAAATTTGGAATTAAGCTGGTTTCCCATAGGCAGGAAGAAAATTCTAATGCATGAATTATTTTATCTTGAGTGAATTTTGGTCCATGAAAAAAAAAACTTTTTTCCACTAAAGACTATTCCAGATAGTATTGTTTCTTGTCATTTTTAATAGACACACACAAAAGGTTCAAATTAGAACACAGAATGTGTCAATAATATGGCCTCTCTCTGAACTGCTATTTTTCCACATGGTGATAGACCTCCCACCCATCCCGATGCCCTTTAAGCCATTAACCTTGATATTTGTGGATTTCACATTTGGTGACTTATATGTTTCTTCCTATGATGTAATCTTTTAATGGTCTTTCTGTTTGTCACAGGAGCTGTTGTTCTCACTTGCCTAGGTTTAGTTGTATTTAACTGGAAACTTCAACAAGGCAAAGCAAATGAACACACATCAGGAAAGCTTTGTTGCAGAACCTGTGGTGAATCCCTGTGTGCTCATGAGACAAGATATCACCACACTAAGGGATACTGTAACTGCCGCTTAACCCAGGAAAATGAGATAAAGGTCCAGTCCATTGTGGGGTCCAGAAAGGAAATGGCATTTTTACAGGAAAGCAGCCACCAAGCAGCACTGACCTCTGAATCCACAGCCATTGAAAGGTTACACAGAAACCTGAAAGGAAAGGACCATGAGGCAGATGGCACTTATATCTGCCTTGGTGGCAGATTGCTGCAGTCGGGTTGTTCAGCCCCTCCTGGGAATATGGCAGCTTTTAATGAAGCGGGCTTACTCACAAGATACTATCCAAAGATAGTTGAAAATCTAAGGAATCTTGAGCCTGGGGAAGTCCAACCTCAAACTCTGCCACAGCATGTAACAAGAACACTAGGTGAGTGGTCTTGTTTTAGAAAATCTCACTGTGTTTAAATTCCTCTGAAGGAGGTAGCCTCTTTCAATTTCTTCAACAAAAGAATAAAAATCATTATAGCATCAGTCTATTCCTTTTCTAAAAACATTGTGAGTGTGCATGCATGTATTTTGGAGTCAAGGTATAGATGGAGATTCCCCACCTTCAGGAGCTGAGAGTACATCCTGTTGTAAAGTGAATTTTGTGATCCAACACCTAACAATGTTAAAAAAATAGAAGAACCTTTTAAATAGCAATAGTGCTGTTAAGATTTATGGGAGCCTGAGTATCGGCTTCCATTCTAACATCCTTCTAGCTCTAATGCCAATTCTGCAGTAAGCAACCTTCCCAGAGCATGACATGTTAGAAGAATGGGCCTTCTAATGCTAGTGATTCATTTCAGGAATGATGTCAAGACACATACTTTGCTTGCTGAGCTGTCAGGGATGATAACTTCCCAGTCCAGGGAAAGTCAGGACTTAATTCATTGTCCCATGTCGGGAGCCAAGCGAATCTGGCCGTGACATCTACCCACTGTACATGGGCGATGTCAATATTTAGGTGGAGGCAATGAATTAAATGTCTTCCTTTTTCTTCCTGAATAGTAAGGCGATGCTTTCAGGCTTAGCAGTGAAAACTTTGACAGCTGCTCTGTAAAGAGGTTCCTGTCATTTATTTGAATTGGATTACAACAAGCAGAGCTTTCTTTCAGAATGTGAATGACAGAGGTACTGCACCAAGGCATGCTTACCATGGGGATCCAGCCCTAAGGATGAATTTGGGGGCCATTGGAAAAGAATAAAACTGTATGTTATTTCACATGCAGCATAAGGCAGGATGTGAATTTATTCCATTGCCTTCCCAGCCTCTAGTTTTTACCAGTTTCTGGGGATTGCTAATTTGACTCAAAAGAGGAATGACCAAGGAAATAAACATCAGCCATAAAAAAACAGATTAGATTGATTTAGTTTACAAAAAAAATTAGTTCCTAGCCTTTCAACACAAACATGCTTCATTTTAGCTTTGCCCAGCACCTTAACTTCTCCATGGGAAAATCCCACATTGAAGGGAATATGATCTCTTGACCATTTAAAACCCAGTCCCTTGTCTCATACAGAGAACACTGGTTGGTCAAATGGATAGACTTTTAAGAAACATTTGAAATCCTGCTACATGCCAGGCATCGTACTATAGCTGGAGAGGACAGGTATTTGAGGAGAAATCAACCAAGGCCACATCCACTCCCGAACCACCATCAATAAGGGGCACTCTCACTCTAGCGAGGCCTTTCGACTGGAAGCACAGAGTCGGTGTTTCAGGGGCAGAGGAGACTTTAGCCATGATCTCATCATATAGTTCTTCATATTTATCTCTGAGGCACAGAACTCTGTTAGAGTCTGATAAAGGCTACATATTCTTTCCCCAGAATAATTTTATACCCACATAAATTTGATACCCACATAAAGTTATATCCACATAAAGTTTCCATCTAGTCTAATCTTCTGATATCCAGAGAGTAAGTGGCTTCTCCAAGGTCACCCAGAAAGTCGAAGGCAGGTCTTAGATAATATTAGATGCCATTCTGAGGCTTAGTTTACCTCTTCCTTTCTATCATTGAGCAAAAATAATTCTTTTTTTTTTCTGGGTAAAACAAACAAATCCACAATATTGAGAAAGCTTACTAATAAGATGCAATTTTAAACATAATACGCACTGTGGTTAAGAAGATAGGATTTAATGTCAGACAGACTGGGGTCAAGTTCTGCCCATGTCAATTAGCAGGCATGACTGGGGGGAAACATTCATCCTCTCTAAGCTTTTTTTTAAAATTTGTAAAAGTGATAGAATAATAGGGCTTGTCCAATAGATCAGGATTCTTGTGGTTATTAAATGAGATGATGAATGTACAATATTTAGCACAATGCCTGGCTCTTAGTTTATGCTTTTGTCACTAAAATATTTTAACATGTATCATTAACTTGCACCATTTAAAAATTCCGGACAGAGATTTCTGTAACTCAGAACAGGTCATATACTAAAATACTTATTCATTTGACAACTGTTTAGTGAATGCTGTGATCAGTGTTGGGACATAAAACAGGTATGATCTCTGCTTTTATGGGTCCAAGATTATTATGTGCATTTTTCTTTTATTGTTGAAACTTGAACACTATTTGATATTTTATTATATCCTTTCTAGTATTCAGTTCCAAGTGAGAAATGAATGCAGAAAAAAAATCACTGGTTATATGAAAAACCAGTGATGAAACCAGTGGGATGAAAAAGATTTAAGTGTTATTCATATTTAAAGCTACTTAATCAACAAACAACTATTCGAAAGACAAACAACTCTGAACATTTTTATTTCCAATTCCACAACTTTAAGTTAGCATCCCAACTGATTAAAATGTGGCCCCAGAGAGTGTCATTGCAAACACAACAAATTGCCAAATGTCCTTTGTGGGTTTGATGAAAAATTAGAAAATATTCAAGAATTGCTATAATTAGAAGAATCATTTTTACCCCTTTGGTAAGGTTTCTAAGCATCTGTTTGGTTGGGGGAATAAAACTCTGCTCAGTGTTAAATTTCTGCATTTATTGTTCCACAGATATCAGCAGTGACACATTTAGTAGAAGATACGCAACAGGAGCTTCAGCTTTGGCAAGAGAAAGTCTTGAAAAGCATTTAACAAATGAATCATGGCAGCTTCCAATAGAAAAAGAAGACAATGGCTTACAACCTCACAGGCAGCAGCATTTTATTACCAGCTCATCATCCAAGCCTTATGAGCCTGAAGAACACTATGTACAAAAGACCTTACAAAAATATGAATCAAAATACTATGATCCTTGTGAACTGTTAAAACAGAGCAGGCCCCGGGATTTCCAGCCAAAAAAATCTCTTATCTGTAAGTATGTGCCCTATGACCAATTTAAAGATTATGTGAAAGAAAAGAAGCCACATAGTCGAGAACATTCAAAGTCTAAGAACGAGCAAATCCAAATTTATAGTGCAATAGAAAAATTCCTTACGAGTGAGGGCAATACGGAGATATCGGGGTTATCAACAAATATCAAGAAAACATATTCCCCTAGGAGTGTTAGCTTCCATGATCCTGGTTTAGTTGAAAAAAATAGGCTGGAGATGTCACCCAAAACATCAACCCATTCAAAACAGCAAAAAACTCAAAGTGAGCGTCTGACCACCTTGAATCTCAAAAAAGGTAGCAGTGCGCAAGATAGAAGCAAAGGAGGAAAATGGCTTACTGGTACACAGATTCTGAAAGAAAAAGGGATCAATCAATCTGATCTCAGAGGGAAAATCAGAAAGCAAAATTTAAAGATAAAATTAAATTTACACCCTTTTAGAAAAGCCAGAGTCCACCCAGAAAAATCCTTACCAGAACTCCCTTCAAAATGCGAGCAAGTATTGTTACCTCCTAATAAATTATCCAGAGCTTCTAAGAAAGAAGCCAAAATAAACCTTCTGTCATCTGTAGTTTTTCCCCACCAGCCAGAGAGTAACAACTATGCTGCACTCACTTCAAAGAGATTGCCTCTCAAACATGCCTCAAATGAGACCCCATATTACAAAAAACACACTAAAAAAGCTCCTCTGCTCACAGCTAACAATGTACCTGTAGTCAACCATAGCTCCCTGGAAGGCAATCGTCACCCTCCTGGCCTCATTTCTGATGGAAGCCAAGCAACACTGCCTGGCCTCATAGCCCCTGCAGCTGAACACAGGCACTCACACCCTCCATTCTCGACTGAACAAATGGAAGGTGCAACTCACCTGGCCTTGGTAGGTTCCAGTTCTTCACCAGGTTCTCAGAAAAATACAGGCAGTGATGTTTTAGCATCCTGCCATTCCAGGAGGACTACTGACCAAGAGGCAACACAACTCACTGAGCACACCGAGCAGGACAAATCAGAGACCAGTGTGCTAACCCAGTTTTCTTTGTCCTTGGAAAATCCAACCCAACCTGTCGGCGACCACAAGACTGACACCTACAAGGAACATACTGTAGATCAAAATCAAACGTTGCGGCATGAAGTGCAACATTCAAGTCATGAAGAACTTGGAAATGAAGAAAAAATATTAGTGAAAGAATGCAAAATATCACATCAGATTACAGAAAATTGTTTTATGGACGAGGGAACAGATGTAGGGAAAAAACTTCCTAAGACAGAAACATGTGATTTCTCTCTCATTCCCCAAACACAATCCAAGGGCAACCTAACATTTACGAAGGTGAATTCTATTGCATCCCAAAATAGGATGGAACTTCCCAAGGATATCAGTACTTCCCTTAGTACTCAAGCCATCTCACATCTAACCAATAGTAGCGAAAAAGAAACTGATGGCACGAATGCATTGCCTAGAGATGAAGGCACCCAAGCACTAGAGATAAAAATAGTAGGAAAAGAAGAGGAAAAAATGCCTGATAAGAGCAAGGCAAATGCTAGCATGTTAATGCAGACCGGACAGATGACCTTAAAAGGCACGACAAAAGGAAAGCAGCAAACTTGGGAAAATGGAAAAAGTAAAAATCTCATGTTACACGGTTCAAGTACTGTTGAGGCTACAATTACAGCTGAGGATTTGAGTGTTATAAGTTGTCAGGAAACTGAAAATAGACAACCTTCTAGTGAAATAGATCTTCAAATAAATAGTAATATGCATGATTTGAGAGAGGCTCTAAATACTCAACCAGATCAAGATAGCAGTGCACATAAAGAAGGCGCAATGGCATCGGAGACACTTGAAGCACTCCCCCCACTACCAGAGGTAAAAGGCATTTAGTTTTGAGGCAGAAAAGGAGGTGCCTCTAATTCCTAGAAGAATAAATGAAGCTGAAAACTCTGCTCTAAAGCATACACTGCATCCACCATTGGCTGAATATGCTAATACATCACCTTTGGAGGCAGAACAAAGTGAACAAAATAACTCAAATAATAATCATTTTCTACTTTAGCTTTCTTCAAAAGAACACACAAACCCCCTTAGCTTTTGCATGCATTTCAAATGCATTATTTGGGAGAAAAAATCCATAGCAACTCTTTGTTATCAGTGAAATAAAAGTACACGTTTGAATATAAAGCAAAAATCAAAGATGGAGTCACAAGATATCTTTGACACAAATGAGTTTTCTTCCCTAAGGAATGGGGAAATGGGAAAGAAAAATTTTGCCTAGTCCTGGAAAAGAGTCAATTTAAAAGAAAAGCTTTAAGTAAATGAAAGATTGAAGAAGAAAAAAGTACTCGAGCAGATTTACACTTGATGTTTATTTTATGGAAATTACTATACACATCTCAATTAGTGGTATTACAATATTGCTTTCCACACAGATGATTATATATTCATATTTGCGCCTGATCTGCTTTCCTAATTATGGTATATAAATAAAAATTGAGCTTTGCTTGTTAACTGTAGTCTAGCGATATGCATATTGGTATATTTCAACAATTTGAGAATGTTTGGTTGACAATTATGCTTGGTCTTAAGTAGAAGTCTTTTAAACCTGTTAATTTTCTAAGAGGAAAAAAATGGAGGATTTCTGTAAAGCCTGTAAAATCCTATAAATCCACTAGGTGGAGATCTCAGCTTCGATCATTTTAGAACAAATGGATCTTCAAGATCAACACAATGGATCCTGAACAAAAGGAATTTTAAGGAGCTTTATTGCTTTATTGCCAATTTTTATTAACTTCAGATTCTGAAAACTAAATAATGCATTAACATGTAAGATTTCAAGGTTTGATCTCTTGAGCATGCCACTATTTTTTGGTGTTAGCATTCCTTCCTGTGCACAGAAATTAAATGTGCTTGTAAGCATCAGATGTACAAGTAATTGTAGAATAAACATCTCTCATTCAATGCCATACTTATCTGCCAGACAGTATACACAAACAATTTTGTTAATATGTCAGTAAACTGTGGAAACATACCTTCACATTTTCTAGTGGGGGGAAAAGAAGGTTGCAAAGATGACTAACTTCCTTTCACCTCTCTCTATATCTGCCCAGGTATCTGTATCTATATATCTACATTTAGCAATATTATAAAGCTTAGAAGACTATTAGAACAATAAATAATGCTTACATGCCCCACTTATCTTCTTTCTTATTCAAAATGGCCAGCAACCGACAATTTTCTTGTTTTGAAAGTTTCTAACCTTATTACCTCTCTTCTTTCTCTTTGCTGCCAGGATTCAAAATTTTCTTAGTTATAATTTCAACTCCTCTCCCCTCTATTTTTGTGCAGACTCTCTCTTGAGCTTAAATCCCATACCATCTGTCTGCCTCCCTGTTCCCACTTCCTTTGTTAAGCACCTTTAAGGTGAGAAGAGCCTCTATAATGACTCACACAATAACTTGATTCTAATTGACAGCTCCCTCAGTTCTATAGACCAGGTTACTCTTTTCTCGTTACCTCTCTTTTTCTTTCCTGTTCTTATTCTTTAAGAACCTTCACCTTAATGCAGAGCCCTTCGTTTTGTTCTCCTCTCACTGCCAACAACGTCCCCGATATCTACCGGCCTAATGAGTGCTCCGGTCACTGGCCGCCTCTCAGGAGTCAGGGATGACAGTGCTCCAGGACTCTTTTCTCTCTTCCATTTCCTAAATCCAGTCTTCCTCCACCTTATGATGTTCTGTTTCCTTTGAAGTAGTTCCCAGGTTTACCCCAGTTCTGAATCCCCATGGTAACCATTGTAGCCTTTGTGTTGTAATCAACTGGATTACTAACAGCCCAGCTGGATGCTCTGTCTTCAGTGCCTTTTGCTTCCATTCAGCCCACTAGTTCTGTGTGTTTATCTGGCACAAATTTCCTGGGGTGCTTGTTCAAATGAAAAGTTCCTGTTCCATCCCAGAGATTTTGATGTAGTAGATTTAGAACACAGGCCCCCAAATCTTGTTTTTAACAAATATTCCAGGGTCATCTGGAGCATGTATATGCAGCCCACACATTAAGAAACAATGCTTAGCTATTCCAATGCATACCAGGAGAAAATTCAGTGCCTGCCTCCCCGTGGAACTACATATACTTGTTCAAGTGAATAAATCCTTCACACCAAACTCAGATGAATTTTCTTAAAAAGTTACTTTTATCATATTTCTTCACTTGTTTAGAGACATAAAAAAATTGCCCATAATTTCATGTCCAAATTTCCTATTCTGGTTTCCAAGGCTTTCCAAAATCTGATCCCATTGAACTATGAGGACTTTCTCCCACCTCTTCCTGCTTTTCAATATGCATTTTCCATCTCCAATAGGCCGGTATTCTCATTGTCTTCTTTTACCTTTATGAGTTTTGATTAAGTTTTATCTTTATGGGTCTTGACTAAGATGACACACACAGGAAACAGTAGTGTGCTTCAAATTCAACAAGTGAGGCAAAAACAGACATAAAAGAAAAAACGAGTAGTGAAATTGATAATCTGAAAAATAATGACCAGGACAACATGTTAGTGTCTTAGATCTAAATAATTCAAATGATGCCTGGTATAAAGATTTAATCCCTCAGTGGCTACAGTGTTTCAATAACTAAATCTTTCCCTTGTGTATTCTCACAACAAATGTGCATATGTTCTCTTTTTGGAGATTTTCCCTCTCTCACCAACCACCTTCCTTCAGCAAACTCCTGTTTGTGCTCACGGTCTCAGTTCAGGTGTCATCTCGTCCAGGAAGCCTTACCTGACCCACGTGAGCTCTGTGTCCCCCACTTGCAAGTATTCTTTAGTATGCATTTTCATCTAATTTGGTTTTTCTCCAATTTAGCTTGTAGTTATAAAACCATTGATGTGTTTTTCCAGTTAATCTCCATTTGTTTGACACTAGAACTTAAGTTCCACTGAGAGACTATGTCCAAGGAACCCCAGCACCTATTCCTGGGCTGTATGTAGTATTTCCTATTGAAGGAAATAATGAAAACCAGCCCATTATTCCCTTTTTCCTCATCAGTCAGCCTACTGATATGGTAAAGACCTTACTGGGTCAGGTAGTGATGACCGAGGCATGTCACATAAAGAAGCAGCTCATTTTCATTATGCAGAGATGGATACCACAACCAAGCCAGGGTCCACCTGACTGACAAGGCCAGATGTTGCTAACCACAGACTTTGCTTTCCTACCCTGCTGTCTCCCCATTCTCTTCCCTGAACCTCATCCCTGGAGCCAGACCTATGCTGAGAGTCTTCACCGCTGAGCAATAAAAGCTTTCCACCAAGTACTTGATTTTGGCCCCTTAGTAAAAAATATATATAAAATATTAAATATTAATGTGTACTATATTAAAATATAGTATTAAAATGTATATTTTAATATACCCTCTTTTGGCCCTATTCTGGTTCTCTTTGTCATTTCCCTATCTGTTACTTACGGCATCCATTCTAGCCTCCAAAATACTTTTAGAAGCTTCCAATGACTTGCTTTTTTATCACCAAATTAAAACTTCCTTATGTCCTTTATCTATAATCATGAAAAGTCAGTTCACAAAAGCAAAAGGGATTCCCTGGATTGTCATTTTATGCTATTCCTTGGAACAGCTCACATCCCACTGAGAGAAGGAAATTCTGGATTAGGTACTTGGCACTCTTATTCCTGCAAAACACATCTGAGGTTCATCAGAAAGACAAGGAAAGCTTATCCTGAACTTCTTTCGTCATGTAATTTTTAAAACAAGTTTTTCTGGGCAACAAAATCCAGATAAGATGATTGGAGACACTGATAAGCAGTATTGATATTTATTCCTTTACTCAATAAATATTTTGGAGCGTTGACTAGGTATAAAATAAAATGAACAAATAAAAAGTCCCAGTTTTTATACAGCTAACATTCTGATAGTGAGAGAGATTCTACACAAAACTATGTAATCTCAGATTAAGTGGGCAGGAGTAGAGGTTATTTCTTTTGAGATATTCAATCCATGTCCCATCATAATCTTCCCTTTTCTTCATAAGAGTTTCCTGTACACTTGTGGGATTGGGTATTGACTTGGTCTGGGTTTTGCTTTCGAAAATAGGTAAACTGCTTTCTCCTTCCAAACGTCTGGGCCATGGCTTATTCTATTTCTCCTTTGGTGAGATGCTTTCTGAGATAACAATAGCCTCCCTGTATCTGCTCCTTTCTTCGTCAAAGAGAGATAAAGTGCCTGGGAAGGATCAGAAACAAGGACCTATAAAAAGAGAACAGCAATAACCAGGATGGTTTGGGTGAATAAGGGCTATTAGGCCTTTTTTGTACAAGTATCTCCAGTGTGAAGAATGTGAACTAAGTCCCTCTGCTCAGAGCAAAAGAATCAATGTGGACTGACGTCAAGACACAAGGATTTCAATAGACGGCAAAACATAGTGGCAGGGGGACTCTTAGACACTGTGCTAAACTGTGCTCCCAGGAAAGAAGTTGTGGAATCTCCTCCTTTGTCAGTCATTGAAGACAAAGTAGACATCAGACTGGTACAAATAAGAAGAATCCTTTTCTGTACACAGATGGTCTGGGATTTCATCCTGGGATTATGTGACTATTTCCTTTTACTCTCTTAGACGTATGATCATATTTTAAAATGTCCTTTCCCACTGTTTACATACTATACTTTACTTATTGCTTCCATAATATCAACCCCTTCATTTGGGCTCTAAATCTATGCTCTTCACCACTTTGTCACAGCCACTCAGAGTTAGAGACGGACTAGAATCAGGTCTCCGGCCTCCTGCTGGAGCCAGTGCTACTGAAGACCACCTGTCACGGGGCCTTTGCCTGAAGGCCTGCCTCATGGTGAAAAGCCCTCACAAACCCATCATCTTGGGCCAAATTTCTTTCTTTAGAAAATGACTAAATATGGCTGAAGCATAGTTAATAAAATTGCAGCTGAGAGGAGAGTGTGAGTCATCTGTCATACCCTGGTTTTTCTTTTACTAATCAGTTGTGAGAAACATTTCAAAATCAGAGAGCAGCAGCAAAGAAATATGAGATACTC